ATTTTCCTCTCTCCCCCACCGCTGAACTGTGAACAGGTGTAACAATCATGGAAAAACACTTAGAGTGCATTGACTAGTGCACCACATCTCAAGAGTTCACTCCATTATTCATATGTCTATTATTCATTTTATTATTATTTTGTAGTGTTATATTACAGCAAGCACTGAAATGAATAAACAAGTGAGAGATGACGCTTCAAGTGCCAGTGGAAAAAGGAATTTATGGATGACCAATGCATTTTAGAAATGTATTCTTTATTCAAGAGTACTATAAAAACAGAAACAAAAAACAGGAAAAAAAGCACTAAAATGATTTACAAGACACATGTAACAATGTTTTTAAAATATACAAAATATTATGTATATTCTAACTAACTCAGCAAATGTTGAAAACTGGATAGCTTGAATGAATTTCTGTTTATTTTGAAGAATGTTGCTGTGATAAACCCAAAAATAATAATATAATATAGTGAAGATGATACTTCTAAAGCAAGGGTCTTCAAACTAGACAGCTTTAAGACTTGCGGACTTCAACTCCCAGAATTCCTCCTCCAGTCATGTTAGCTCAGGAATTCTGAGTTGAAGTCCATGAGTCAGTCTTACCTGCCTAATTTGAAGACCTTGTCCTAAAGCATGTTGTATGTATTTGCTTCTAGTGTAAATGAAAATAGAAGTGAAAGGACTGCTATATACAAAATAAAATATTTACCTTTGAATACCTGTAAACCAGTCACCTGGCATATTGTGTAAAACTGAATCTAATGAGGATAAGAGCAGCTATGGTAATTTATAATGCTGGAAAAATATTGAGGACTATGACAGCAAAATTCTTAGGCATGTTTGAAGGTAAAAGCCTTATTTGTTTTTCTGAAAATATGTTTCACTGGAGTGGCTTTAATTATTTGTTTGCCTAATATTTTCAGTTCTAATCTTAAGAGCTCTAGTAGTTTTGCTGCATAAATTTTAAGGCATGACATATACCACTTGAGTGTCAATGCTCACAGTGAAACTGCAAAGATTCTCAACCTCTTTAAATAATTAATGAAAGAAGCTTCTATGAAGATTCTCGGTCATCCAGGTCATGGTTGTCCCAATGGTGCTTTTTCAAGGTGCTTTTTTTTGTTTTATTTTGAAGACATTTTGCATCTCATTCAAAAAGCTTGCTTCCCTACCATTCAGTAAGAGCTGAAGAAGCTTCCTGGATGAAGTGCAAAACATCCTTAAAGAAAAACAAAATGTTTTTATTGTTTTTGCCTCTTGAAAAAGCACCTTTGGGCCAATGGAATAAGGTTTTTTTATGACTGCATTTGTAATAAGTGAGTGGCTGCAGAAAGAAGGGAATAATTCCATTATAAATATGTTATTAACATGAATCCCTTATATTTCTAATCCATGTTTTTGAGGATACTTGTCCTCTTGTAGGCAAAGCAAGGGATTGCCTGGAAGCAACTCCAGGTCACTCTTGATGTAAGAATTTTATGATGTGATCAAAAGTCAAAGTGCATATCAACTGATCATTCTCTGTATTTTAGGAGCCATGTGATGCAGTGGTTAGAATGCTGCATTGTAGACTAACTCTGCCCATAGCCAGGAGTTTGATTCTGACCAGCTCTAGAGTGACTCAGCCTTCCATCCTTCCAAAGTAGGTAAAATGAGGATCCAGATTATTGAGGACAATATGCTGTTTTTGTAATCCACTCAGAGAGTGGTATAAAGCACCATGGAGTGATATATAAGTCTAAGTGCTATTGCTATTCCTATTTTAAAGTGGCAAAAAGTGCTCCTCTAATTGTCTCAGTCTCTTTTTCAAAAATTAGTTTCCATTGCTGAACTGATTCTTTCTAAGAATCATTCCTAGTGTTTAAATGGTGCTCCAAATGTTTTAGGATTGCACCCAAGACATCTATTACTATTGGAACTATATTTGCTCTCTTTTGCCATCATCATACTACTTCTCTTGGCAGGTTTTGTATTTTGTTATTTTCTCAAGATTTTTCTTTTTCTATTATGCTATCTTCAGGTTCTGCAACTTCCAGTAGCATGACTTTTTTTGTCTTATCAACAATTATTTAGTCTGGGATGTTGTGTGACAGCTGCTTGTCTGTTTGAACTCTAAAGATATAGAGCACTTCAGCTTCTTCATTTTCTATCACTTTGTCTATTTTGTTTGTCCTACCAGCTCTTGCTTGCAAGCAGCTGGTGTTTCTTGCAGATATTCAATGCACCATTGTTGTTACTTTGTCACACCATTGTTTATAATCATCCTTCTTGCAGCAGATAACTTAGGTGAGATACTGTTTTTCAGCTTCTTTGCAGAGATTACATTAGCTGTTGCTTCTTCTCAATTCTGGCTTTCTATGGATTTATTCTTAAGGTTTGGTCTTGTGCAGCCAGAATTACCCCCTGTATATCTTTCCTCAATTTTCCTGCTCTTAGCCATTGTCAGGCCTTCTTGTTTTCTGCTTGGCCTGCTTTTTTTTTTTAATGTAGTAGCTATGTAATACTTTGCCTTGCCATGTCTCTTTTCTGTCCTTCATTTGGTATTTCATGTAGATCAGTTTTCTTTGTCCGGTACTCACTAAGCCTTCATAGTATACTAGCTTCAGCACATCTACTTCACTGTCCTTCAGATATTTTTCCAGTGCCTTTTTCCCTCTTCAATAGTTTGTGTACTTGCAACATTGCTTGCCCACCTATGTACCTTGGTAAATAGAGTCTGTTAACATCTCTGTGTTGGGCATGATATATTGTTATTATTTTTCTGATCTTCCAACCCAGGGGCTCTAGTTCAGTCCAGTATTCCAGCCGTATGTCTAATGGTTGGTATTTCCCAGATTATAATAAACTTTTATAATAATTATAATACATGCATTATATAAAAATGTAATCTATTTAATTAATATATTATAAATAATAAATTATTTCTTAAACAAAAAACTAGGTTTTTAATGCAAAGAAATTCTTATGTATTCTGTTATAATTTAAAGTTTGCAATCTGCATGTTGAAAAACTGGATTAGAATAGCTTTATTAATTATGTAAACATGTTGCATACTTAGGAAATATAGCACTTATTCTGAATATGCATTATTACTTTCCTGAATAACTCCATAATGTAATTTTTTGAATTTTCCTAGTTAGAAGAAATAAAAACATATGAAGAATGGTTGCAGGAATTTGAAAAGAAGGAGTATGGGGGACATGATAGCAGTAGTCAGTATACCACAAAGAGGAGTAGGTCAACTTATTTTCCAAAGCACCAGAAGGCAAGACAAGAAGCAATGGATAGAAACTAATCCAGGAGACAAGCAACCTGAAATTAAGGCGTAACTTCCCTACAGTGAGGACAATTAACCAGTGGAACAGCTTGCAAGTTGTAGATGCTTCATCACTGGAGGTTTTTTAAAAAAGACTGGACAGCTATCTATCTGAAATAGTATAGGATCTCCTACTTGAGCAGGAGGTTGGACTCAAAGACCTCCAAGGTCCCTTCCAACTCTATTCTGATTGATTGAGAATTAAAAATAAAGTTCTGAAACTTGTACATTTACAATACATTTATAGTGCATTCTTATAAAGAAAATAATTCAAAAACTACGTATTTGAGAGAAAAGTAAGCCATTACTCATTTTAAAACTTCTATTTCTTGGAACAACAGTAATAGAAGACTTAATTATTATTCATAATTATACATAATTATATCTGGAGAAAGAAAAGATGCCAAGTTATCCTAAATTATACCTATACCTATAAATCAGGAGTATCAAACTCACGGTCCATGGGCCGGATGTATCACATGCTGGCCCCACCCCCACCTGGTTTAGTGAAAAGGAAAAAAAATCCCGATACATCATGTGACAACACCCTGATGACGCGAATTTGACACCCCATAGATGCAAAATTAAAAGTGAAATTCCAAACCAAACAAGTTTAATTGAATTAATATTCAGTTAATCTGCAGTCCAGCATGTAAATGAGATCAAATGTGTTCAATTAACTTTCACTCAGTTAATTATCTAGTTTGCAGCCTGAAAGGCAGAATGAGAGAGAGTTCTTAAAGAAGCAAAACTTCACTCCTTAAGTTACCATGAATGGTTTTACAATGCAATAAAGTAATTAGACTAAATGGTTGTAGCTCTTTTGAAAGTAGAATGTTTTGATGGTTTTTATCCAAAGGCCAGCTATTTGTTCAATAGTGGCACTCTATGTAAAGCTTCTATATACCATTCAACTTTCAGATTACACCAGTTCAATCTTTCAATCCTTCTTCATCCAGTTAGCTCCCAAGTGTACCAATTCTATTAATAAACATCCAGACATACCATCACACAAACGTGAGTCTGCCAGTGGTTCTCTCAGCACTGAAGACAATAAAAGACAAGGGAGAACCCTAAAGAAACAAATTGCCCAGGCCGGCTACTCATAAAGAAACAATCCCTTGGAAAGTTTGAATTTAAGGAAACATTTAGTGTTCAGTAATTCATCAACATAGATCTTCAATGAAGATATCAACAAAAATATAAATTAAACCTAGGCCTTAAAAATAAATAACTGATTAGTTTGTATGGATTACCTGTTAAAATAAACTGAAGAAATAGTATAATAATGTGATGACTAAATGGATATTTTTGTTACATTTTGCTTCTCATTCACCATTATGATTGCACTCTAGATTAAAATAGCCATAAAAGATAAATAAGTGGGCTGATAATTCACACTTAATTGATTAATGCACTATTTTTCATTTTACTGCTTTGGTATTTCTTTTTTCCATGGTCCAACATGTTTGCTAACATTCTGACTTAGAAATGCTTCTCTATCTTTTAAAGTAGAGGCATCTTAATGAGCTTTCTATTAACTGACAGGCATGAAAGAAAGGGAGGGAACCTGATTACGTACCTAAGCGACAGTAGGCAGCAACTTAAAGCAAATGCATTCCTCAAAGATTAAAAGCAGGAACAGTGGCAGAAATGTACAGATAAATCAAGTACACATACTTACAGTCGCTGATAGCTGGGGTCCAGTAAGTTGTGCCTGTAAAATAGCCTCATTGATCGAGTACCGAATACCCAGCAGTGCCAGTTCTAGATCATGAGTTACAGCCATTTCATTGGTGAGGTATTCCAGAGTATAGATATATTCCCTCCAATGAATGTCCAGCTCAGATACGCTGGCAAAACAACCTCTCATCACATTCAAACAATACCCTTCACAGGGTCTGATGAGGGTCAGACCTTGGCAGTGAGGACAATATTGCATTTTCACAAGGCCTCGGATACATTCTTTGGTCAAAACAGCATGCTCAGTGGCGTTCAGCACTTCAACACCCATTCCCAGGGCCTGATTGAATATTCTGCTTGCCCTCAGAGACTTTGCTAGCTCCATAACAGCTTCTTTGGAATAGCGTCCAAATGGGTTGATGTCTTGTCGTGTTTGTCGCAGGCATTCCATATATTCTTCTGACAAGTCCATCATGCCAGGGTTTATCAAGCGGGTATAAACCAAAGGGAAGAGGCTGTCGAAGAACCGGAAAAATGCTTTTTCCACTCTGTTTTGAGCACCCAAGAGGTAGAGAGAGAGGTCTGTAAAAAGTTCTTTCACAGGCTCAGCTGCCTCCTTTGACATGGATCTGTAGACAGTCTCAAAGAGAGAAGCGGTGTGATTCTCAGCAAAACGAAGCAGGGATTCAAAGGCTGCTGCAGAAATACATTAAAAGTGAAGGGAAAGTCAGTGTTTCCTTAATACAGCTCAAAAGCTTGGATCTAAATAGTAGACCAGGACTAATTTTTATTCAGTTGCTTTACAAGATAGGTAGGCATTTTATTTCTCTTTCACAAATTGATACAGTTGAAATGTGGAAGAGGAATCTCACTGCTTTTATTGGTTTTCAGTGCTGCTTTGTTTGATGCTGACATAGAATCTCTAAATGCTGGAATACCTGAATACCTGAATACCTGCCCCAATTGTGCACCTACAATATTTCAATTCCCAGAGTCTACCAGTCCTGAGTTTGCTAAGGACGTGAAGTTATACTGTACATATACAGGATCTTCAATTGGAGAAGCTGGACTATATAGAGACTTCTCTAAAGCTAAATCCATGGTGAAGCACAGACCATAGTTCACTGACCATTTTTGTTTTCTGTGCAAAATTCCCAGGTTTAGTAACTGACATCTCCAATTAGGACCAGAAATCTGAAATCTTAAAGAAATGTGGTCCAAGGCAATGTACAACCTTGAAAGTTTAAAAGATTTCTTTGTGAATCAGCTTCTTTTGTGAAATATTTTAAGAGCAACTGAGAGGAGAAGGAAGACTTAACTGTCTCTCATCTGACAGACCCTGGTAGATATATAAGCAGGGGTGGGATGCTACTGCTTCTGCCTGGTTCTATAGAGCCGGCAGCTCTGAAGAGCAGCAGACACCGAACTGGTTCTGTGTTTGCTGCTGTTTGGCCCACCCGTCTGCCCGGGCTCTTACCTGTCCTTTATTTCCTGATTTTTCAACCTCAGCTTCTTTGTGCGGCACAGCTGAGGTTGAATAAGCAGAGAAAAAGAGGCTTTCCAAATGCTGCATACCTGCACGCAGCGCTTTTCAGATGTCCAGGTGGCACAGCTTAAGGTTGTTTTACACGTGCGTGCAGCATGCAAAACATAGTCACCAAACCAGTAGTAACACCGGTTGAATGCCACCCCTGTATATAAGATACATCTGGATTGAAAAGTACCTGCTGAAATAATCCTCAGTTAAGACTATGCAATCACTCACATATTTTATAAATAAATTATATTGAAGGACAAAATAAAATAATAGAATGTAAAACTTATAATAAAGTAACTAAAGTTTCTTTACTAAAAGGTTGTTAAAAGAACTCATGAACAATTCTTTTTCTCTGTAAATGCACTCACATTTTTGATACAGAAGATGGAATTTCTTGACTCTTTCTTATTTATAAATGTATGTAGCTTGGTAAACACATGTAGGTTTTTATTATAAACGCATGTAGCTTTTTATTTCCACCACGTTGCTTTATTTCCTTTATCTTATTTAACATTGCTTGATATAGTTGTAATCTTAAAACCAGTGAAATGTTTAGAAAACCTGAGGAATCCATAAATGTTGGAAGACAACATTATGCTTTACTCAACTTTCTCCACAACCTTAAGGTATAATATAGTTTTAGGTTCAGTGGAAAATCTGTGCAATTTACAATTAAAATATGATTCAATGTTTGTTTTCAACCTTTCAACTACTTAAGTATTAAGTAGTTTAGGATCTGGCTAAGGGAGTAGCCATCATATTAATATGAACTTGTGTGGTTGCTAAGGTCAACACCAAAAGTCATCTTAAAGATATATATTGGAAGTCCATTCATTAGATACATGGAATAAAGAATTTTCTGCATTTCTAATAAGCCATGGAACACTGTTTTGATAGCTGCATTAACCTCCATTCCTTCTGCCTTTAAGAAAGAGATTGTCTTTCCCAATCATACCTTTGGAGTTCTTTAAGGATGATTTTAGGTATGATTGTTAGGAAGGCAGGCAGGCAGACATTAACTTTTATATATTTTGCACTATTTACCTATGAATTGCAGGTGCTCAATTAACAAGTGCATGAAATCTAAATAAACAAGCATTGTGTGTTGCCTTTTTCTTTTATGTCAAGCATCTTGAAGTGGCCTAAAAGATTTAAAGTAGATGGAGATTATTAATCTGATAAAAAGAACAATAAACCCAGTGTTCTTTTCCAATATTACAGGCTTACTTCCCTTCCAGACATGAGGCTGACTTGTAGCAATTCTGTTTTAACCAAGCCATTTTTTTTTCAATTCAGGATTCAACAGATATTTTAATTAATTCAGTAAAATGTTTTTACAGCCTAGGACTTCACATTTGGCCTAATCTATTTTAGCAGGAAAAAGCTTAGTCAAGGGACAGATAAATAACTAGAATAAAACTCCCTTTTTACGACCCTATACTTAATTTGGGGTAGAGTCAGAGTGACTGGATGGAGCTGAGTGTTTACTGGCCAGATGTCCTTCCTAATGACATGGGGAGTTCACAGTAGATATTTTTTCTTTGCGCCCTAAGAGAGAACATTTGCTGCTACCTAGGATTGAATTCTCAACTTTCTAAGTGGGAGGTGAGTATATTCACCATTAGGCCACCATGCCATTCAAACAAATAAATGGAATAAAATATAGCTGTATAGCTTATAACTATATAATAGTTTCTGAAGTTGTGTGTGTTACATGTTCAATTTTGAAGCTGACAATTCTATGTGATCAAGTTATCACAGGATAGCCACTGATTAAATGATTGGAAGCAGACTTGTTACGTTATAATATTTTAAAACAGTATTATTAGCTCTTCAAGAAACAGGATAAGATTATAATAACTTACAAATTGAATGTTTTTGTAATTCTATGACCCTTGAAAAGAAAAGAAAAATCCAATTTCACTCCTACACAGTTTGCCAAGTAATATATTGAGTCAGCTTTTACAACTCAGCTGTAAAATTGTAAAAACTGTGGTTTATAATGAAAAGACTGACAATGCGAAAGCTGCAGTATTGTAAACAAAGCTACTGTACTATAAGTGGAACAAAGTTTTCTAAAACATCTCTGTTTAATATTTGTTGGTTTATGCAACTTCTGATCTTATTCAAAGTATTATTGAAAGTACCGTTTTCATATATGTTTCAGAATTCTAGATCAATGATTTGTCAAGACAAAGTCCATCCTTGCTGGAAGTAGAGGATACTGATTTTGGTTGCTCTAAGTGGAAAATTGTAAATGAAAAGTTGTTAATTTTCAGATCTACTGTATATGGTTTGTTCCCTGAACATTCATTTAGGTACATTGTACCCAATTTGTATAAGACAAGTCTTTAACTGCTTAGTTCATGAGTTATTAATTAACACAGTTGGCCAGATTATATAGAAGTCATATTGTCAGCTTTGGAATCCTTATTCATCGCTGTCACATAGCTTGAGAAAGTGGGAGGGGGTGATTTTAACTGAGTAGCTCTTAGTAGACAAAATAGAATTCTTTTGTTAGTTCAAGGTCAAAGAGTGTGGCGCAGGAAAAAAGGAACGTACTTTGGGATTGGTTCATGTGATGTGATGATGACAGAAAAGGGGATGGGTTGTAGTTTGGGACATTGTGGGAAGTCCGGGAAACTTAGTTTTGAAATTCCACAGATGTGCCAGGTGTTATTCTAATAAAGGTACTTTTGAGATTATGCTTGTCTCAGAGTTACTGTTTGGAATGGAGGTTCCCTGGAACACTGACACATATTATCAAACTAAATTTATGCAGTAAGTCAGCATAACATATGACAAATTAATCCTACCAGAGCTGAAGAAGCTTCTTGGGTGAAAAGCAAAATGTCTTCAAAGAAAAACCAGAAAGTCAGTTGCCTCTTGAAAAAGCACTTTTGGGACAACCATGACCTGATATAATCCTATCAGCAAACGTCCATAAATAATTCCACTCTCCAGAAAACACATGGCACCCCTAACTCAGGAATCAAAAGTACATTATTTTCCATTCCCAAAGGCTCTCTGGAAGAGCAAGGCTTATATCACCTCTGAGACACAAGTAGGGATAGAGATTTCTTTATAGAGTCACTCTAATGATGGAGAAGGGAGGTCTCTAAATATGGTATATAAATAAATAAATAAATAAATAAAAAGACACACAATTAGGAGGTGAGGGAAACCTACAGTATTTCATCATCATTATTACTGGTTGTGTAGATTCCATACAATCCATGTTGTAAGTCACCTGGAAGCCTAGTAGCAACCAATGTAGCTCTTGCACTAGTGGTATCATGTGTGCAGAACAAGCTTAGTCCATTACTACGTTGGCTGTTGCTGAAGATAAAATTAAGCAAGGAAACAGCTTGATATAACAAACTGGCTCCAGGTATGCTTAATGCTTAGCAATAAATTACAAACAACTAGTCTGGCCATGAAAATGCAAATTCAAGAACTAGTTACTGGAAAGAGGAAGTCAACCCTTGAATCTTACTCAAGGCTTGCTGATTAAACAGAATAAATGCTAAAATACCGGGTTGCTCTAAGAGCCAGTCCTGTTCTATCTTTTTCATCTAAATAAGATCACTATATAAGCATTTGCCTATCCCTGTCTTAGTGTCTTAGAATCTTGTATTTTGTTCAGTTCAATAAAATTGATTCAAGCTGATGATCTGGTCTCCAATTGCCATTTAAGCCAGGGTGTTTCCCTCCTTCATTCCAGGTTAGATCAGCTGAAGTTTCTAAACAGTCTTCATTCAGAGTGAGCTGTGGTAGTTCAGATTAAGGCCACAAATTATTATAATAAAACCTTTCATTCCAAGAACAGTGTTCAAGATGAAATTAAGCCAAGGCCCTCCACTTGCTCTTCCAGAATGAGTTGTAACATTTTCACATTTTTAATCTTTGGTTCTGGATAGGGTGGTATTGTGCAGAGCAGATTCACAAACCAGGAGATTGACTAGATCTACAGCTTGATTCAGATCCTTATAGACTCATTGTGACCCTAACACATTTTAAAAATAAGTGCATTTCTTGCACAGTTCAGAATGGATATAAACAGTTGGATATCTTCAGCATAGTATCTCACAACTTGCTGGCTTCATGCAGATATTGACCATAAGAATTATTGTTTTTATATTTTCTCAGTACTGTAGAA